CACACACACACACACCACACACACACACACACACACACACACACTACACACACACACAGACACACACACACACATATATATATATAGCTATATATATATATACATATACATATATATACATATATATATATATATATATACATTGTATTTGTAAATATATTAACATATATTTTATATCGTATCCGGATATAGTCCCTGACTTTCCGTTGAGTTGCTGGTGCGAATTTTTACGTTTTTATTGCATTCTACTTTTTCTTCTCCTGTGTGAATGATTTGAACGCGGATTTTGGCATCTAAATTTCTGTCTCACCCCAAAGTTCTAATTGATTTATTCACCTTACACACTACATTAATCAGATATGTTCTACTAAAAAACACACCGGCAATTGCAGACTTTTTCCAAGAGCTTGTACGCAAGGTTATGGAAGTGTCTCATCGAATGGACCACAAGGGTGCATTGCAGCCGTCCAGCGATACCCGGTTTGCAAAGGAAGTTCCATATGAACAGTACGTTCAGAATGCCCACTACTCCATCTCAGAGCTCCTTGTACGCAACCATGGGTCTGGTATTCCACAGACAACTGTTTGCAAAGGCAAAAGCAAAACGCATGTATATCCACTAGTGCAGATGGGTATATTCGGTGTCAAGCAGGATCAAGACACCATTATGAATCTCCTTGCAAGCGCTCGATCCGAGTCTCGCATACAGATTGCGGCTGGGTATCTGAACTTTCCGCAGTACATCGAGGACGCTATCCTGAATTCGAAGGTGTGCTGCCGTTGCTCGGGTTTTTTTTGCATCGCATTGTTGTTGCTTACAAAAATTATCGATCACGTGCAGTATACATGTGAGCAGCAGAATCAGAACGATGTTTTCAAACAACTTTTTGATGTATAGCGAGATGGTCTGTCAACCCACATACCTCTGATTCTCAACTTGATATCCTTTGCAACAGGCCTCCTTCAGCGTCTTGACAGCAGCTCCAACGGCCAACGGCTTCTTTGGTTCAAAGGGTATCTCAGGGCATATTCCCGGGCTATACTCCGCAATTGAGCATGGCTTTTTCAATCGCGTGAGCAACCTTGCGGAGGCTACTTCTTCCCATGCTCGGATCAGATTGTTCGAGTACTGTCGAAGCAAGTGGACGTTCCATGGCAAAGGTAAGTTGCCACTTAAAAATTTTCTGCTTATTTTGTCGACCTGCTAGATTGGTTTGATCTGTTAAGGACGAATCGAGCAGTTTAAAGGACGGTTTGCGTTTGAAATTAGTCCTTTCGCGACCCGTCGGTTGTGTATGAGCTTAGCAAATCATTAATTAACTTGCTTGCTTCTATTTTACGCGGGATGGTCTTGAATTCAACTGTTAATTCCACTTTCACAGGGCTGTGGTATTACAAGGATGGAGAGGAGAGTCCCAGCTTAACGCTGATCGGTTCCCCAAATTTTGGGCGTCGATCTCAGTACCGTGATTTGGAAGCGCAGGTGGCGATAGTTACGGATGACGAAACATTGAAAGCGAAATTTAGAGAGGTATGTACTAGTCAAACTTGTCTATCTGTCTGCTAGCAGCTTTCATATATGTGAATGTAGATCTAGTTTTCAACTGTGTAGGATCAAATAGTGCGTCTTTGCCCCCAAAAGCGCGATTCACTAAGATGTATACTGTAAGCAATAGTCTCCAGTGCGTTTTAAATATGTCGGTTCTCTTTGTGCTTCTATTTTATTTAAGTCACACTTCAATGTACTACTGTTTTATATACTATAAGACGAGCACTATTGACTACTGGTTTATATACTACGAGACGATCACTATTCATAGTCCAGCCATTCTGATATCGAAGGTTATCCCGACCTAGCGCTCATGAACGAGCCTTGCTCCAACGAGTACTCAGCATTCATACATATTCTCTACAGGAAAATGATTTGCTCACGAAGTACAGTACAGAGGTGGACAGGACAACCTTCAACAAACCCGAGCACACAGTCCCACGATGGGTCCAATTCGTTGGCCGATACTTCGCCAAGTCATTCTTATAGTGCCGAAAGTGGAGACCACGCGCTTCGCGCAGATGAGTCAGATTTTGAGCTGATAGCGCGTTTTAAACTCTAGCGTATACAGTTCCTCTTAGCTATGCGTTTGGGGATGTCTTCACGTAATAAATGATCGATAAAGTATGCTTCACTATTTAGCGCCCGCTGTTTGCTTTAAGGCCTCGTTAATTTGTGAATTCTTGCTGTTAGGACCACTACCAAACGGCTATTATTCGTCTTGAGAGTAGTGGTGGACTAGTAACCCGGCTGGCCACACGTTTAACGTTTAAAACGCTACAATCGGTTTAAGCTGAAGTTCAAGAGTTGGAAAAAAGCGGCACTGATTTCCCCATTTCGATGTATACTAGTGTGCGTAGTTCAACAGCATTGAACGTTTATCAGAGTTCTGGAAATCAGTCTTGAAAACGTCCATTCACCGAATTTAGATTGGAGCGCACGTTGTGGTCACTCGGCTGTGACCTTTGTCTGTCTACATGTGCCTGAGGGGTCACACTGCCCCGCGATGCACTGGGTGTGGGGATTTTGGTTCTTCGCTCTGACATACCGCTATTAGGTGCGCGCATGCCTGTACGTGTGCTGTGAATGGGTGTTTGTGATGGTGTCCTGGTTTGGTTGCGCGCTGCCGGGGTGGCAAAGGTGGAGTTTCCTGGGAGAATAGATGGCGGAGTCGGTGTCAGCGCAAGTAGAGTGACAGGCGAACTAGCTGGTATTGCTTCAATAGCGCGTGTTAGAGTTTTGGGGCTATAATATCTGTAACGTCAAGATAGTCTATTGCCAAATTATGTTTTAGAAACGGGCAAGACACTTTTTCTTTTCGCCGTTAAGTGGAAGCAAACTGTGCACTCCATAAAATACTGTGCTTTCAGAGACCAGAGAAACGTGTAATGCCCGATCAGGATCAAGAGGTATATATTGAAGGCCCTTGACTTGTATTGCTGGTTGTTCCGCATGCCGGTATATGAAATCCACACTACACCAGGAATCATTTTCAGGACAACCGAACTCACCTGCGGGGGTTCTCGCACTCCTCCCCGTCCTTGGTGGCGATGTCTCCCTTTTTACTGACTGTGAGTGCTGCGACCGGTCACTGGTTTGCCTCCTTCCCGGTGTGCGACTACTTTGTCCCGCAATGCCGAACACATCCGCACTAAGCACTCGGGTATTGATTTCCTCATCGAGAATATCGATATATTTTCCGCCCTGATAGCGAAAGGGTTCACCGTTCTCTTCCTCAAAGCGCATGACGGCATCGCGCAGATTGGCTTCCCGCTTTAAGAGCGAGGGATAAGCACTGTGTGGGTGTAATAGACAGAGTTTAGACCAAGCATGGGGAATGCATTCGAGTATCACCTTATGCGGTTTATAATATTGTGTATTTTCTAATGCGGCATGTATACTATAAAGAAGGGAAATGGCAGGCCCGCACCTTTTAAGCTCTAAAACCATAGCTGAAACAGATGTGATATACATCCTTGAGCGTATACGTAACAAGTGAATATATATAAACATATCCATTAATTCGACTGGGATTGGTACACGTCTACTCGGTTATTGGCGTTGTACTCTTGAGGTTAAGTACTGAAATGATCTCAGAGTTTGAGACACGCTGAAAGCAAATTTTGACGATTTCAAAATACTCGCCAGGTCATCGACAACGAGTTTCCTCCAAAATTCATCTAATCTATGCCATCGTCGCAATTTTTTAACACAGGGTGAAACATCAACGCTCAATATTAAACACTCGCTATACAACTCTTGGCATAGCAAGGACACTACAAAGATGCGGGAACTAGTAAATGAACTAAGATATTCTACACACCCTTTGCGAAACTTCTCTTCTTCCAGGAATCGCAGAGATGACCCTTTGAAGCGTGCGGGGTCCGAAGCCGACACCTCGAACTCTCGCATTTTTTTCAGAAAATCCGCTCTTTTCCCAATCATGGTGATAATAACCTTTGCCTTCTCTATGTACTTTTGCCAATGTCGAACCTCATTCTCGATGCTCTGCAAACTATCGATCGTGTACGGATCTTTCAGCGCTTTCCAGAACTCCTGCTGCTCGCTTTCGCTCACCCCTGCTTCGGCCCAAATACTCTGCAACTGGCCTATAGCGGCGTCCACAGAGTCCTGGATACGTTCGAGCTGAATCTCACGCAGCTTGTTCCATATAGCCCCGTATTTGTTCAATTGCATACGGGATAAGGGTTCGTAGTCTCCCTTTGGCTCATGGCGAGTTAGTGCGCCAAATTCCATCTCAACGTCTAATTTTCCCTCCAAGTCGCGGATGTTGCTTCTGAGATCTGCAAGTTCTTGCTTGCGTGCTTCTTTCAATTCCTAAAGCCGAAAATGTAGATACAATGGGTAAAATCGGCGTCAACCTTGGCTTTGTGGATCGGGTATAAGGCAAGCTCGATCAGTTGTTATTCCGCGCAGGAAAAACAACACACTGTACATGCTGCTATACCTTTTCAATCTAAAATGCAACCTCCCGGCCAGAAAATATGAGCGTCCAGACATTGAGAGAAGACGAACAAAACCTATACGACGACAAGGTTAATTGCAATCTATGGCACTAAGCTACATAATTGAACACCAGAAGTGACTTCTACAGACGACAACGCATAGGGGTTCCACAACTGCAGATATCAGTGCATTCAAATGTGATAGGCACTTTACAAAAACGTATTGCTACTCCTGATAAGATCTACGACAATGTGCACTCCCATATACAACAATATACAACAATACATAATATATAACAATATAGCAATATATAGACATAAACACAAACACACACCACACACATATACATTATATATATGTGTGTGTGTGAACAAATAATGATTATGTACAATCAGACGAAAGAAGAAGCACTCTTATCCGACACCTGTAATGCTGCGTCACAATTTCTGTTCTGTGAGGTCATGCAAAGGTACACGCATGAATTGCGCCAAGTAAACAGCCTTCATCGGCATACCAATAGTTCGGCAATGGATCCCTTCATTCCGTTTATGATATCTGTCCTCGGCTGGAAAGATTCCGCGTCCTGTGTGCCCACACTATCACCCAAGGATGCATCTCGATAGGCTAACTTGTTAGGATCATAGGTCATATACACGCGCTGTTCCAGCCCATTCAGCACGCTGATTAGATCGCGGATGTTCTCCACGCGTGCCGCTTCCTCTGCTCGCGCGCGAACCAGCGCGGCGTCGTATGTGTGGATGCGCGACTGTGACCAGCATCCAGGGAGCCGACAATCCGCATTCATAACGTCTTCGAATCGGAGCATAGCGTGTTCATTCGGGCTGGGTTTGTAATCTAACCTTTCCCAAACCTCTTTTATTCCATCCATATTTGTCAACAGCACTTCTCGGCGCTCGTGCAGCACCAGATTCAGGTCTTTGATCGTGACCAGCGCTTCGTTCTTCTGCGTAACCAATGGCAACGTACCGTTGGGATGCAGTGACTTAAACTGCTCAGGCTTAATCAGCGGCGGTGTGTGCGGGGGAGTACTCCCATTCTCCCCCACTTCGTTTCTCATCATGGAGGAGAAACTTCGGTTTAAATCCACAGCATCAACCCCATTACTACTATCACGTAGGGCTAACTCAGCTTCGTCTATGGCCTGGTTTAGCGCGTGTACTTCTACCACTAACGATGCCTTGCGCGCACACTCACGTTCAATCGCATCATCCACCACATGCAGTATTCGGGTGGATTGTTCATGCCGTTCGTGATCAGTGGATCCGAGATCCAGCCAGATAAGCTCCAGCTCTCGCAGCCGCTCTGTGATAAGGGGTACATCTATCTGGTATATTTCTGCCATCGTGTCTATGATTATAACTAATATTACGTTGATTCACTGACTACACAAGCGAAACTAGTTTCTCTCAACTTAACAAATAGACGTATGTACAGTCAATTTCTGTCCAATACAGACTCATATCAATCATATCTGAGCATGCGACACAGTCCAGTAACTCCCCTACTTTTATCTCGCTTGTACACACCAATACAGCTATTTAAATAACTACAATCCACTCATAAAACTATCCACTTGTGTTATATGCCCATGCACTGTCAATGTACATCGTAGATCTGTACAAATCGGTGATATCACCATGTATTATAACTTTATAATATTTACTTCAAAAGTTCAATATTTATAATCTGTACTCGTATGATGGAGTCCATCACATTTCACATATCACAAGTTCACAGTAAAGCACTCGTTACGAAATTTCCCGCGTAAACCTTTTGAGAAACTCTCGCTTGTAGAAACTGGGCGGATTGGGCTCTTGGGGCTTTGGGCTCAGCCTCAAAGGCTCGGCCTCTCACAGGAGTACATACTAAACATGCTCTGTGACAGAGACTGAGACTGTGAGACTGTGAGACTGTGACTCTGTGAGTCACGCAATCACGACTCACGAGTGTGAGTCACGGTCTCACAGAGTCACGGCTCACCGCTCACTTATTTATCTCTATCGTAATCGGCGTCCCGAATATCAACGCTTTCAAAAATTATTTACGTATGTTGAGCAGGAAACGGTATTGATACAGATAAAGTTAAAAAGTATATGTGACTGTATAGTTACTATAAAAAATATAGAGTGTATCCATATAATAATAATAAATAATAAAATGTTTGATTTAGAAGGCTATGAATAAAAAAAAGGACAACCTTGATCCTTTATATAATTCTTCTCTAATAACGACGAATCGTAGCATCTTTCAGTAACTAGTGGGCTACAACATTCTTTTAGCCAGTTCTGTTTAAAATCTTGCAAAATTTTATTATTATTATTTATCTGTGTATGACTGTAGGCACTAGACAGTAGGCAAATCCCTTCCCGGATATCAAATTCAAAACAAGCCCGTCTTGCAATCCGACACGTCGAGTCTCCTATAAATGCGACCAAAGGTGATCACGTGGGGATAAGTTATGTCATCAGATGAAGAGAGAGGTGGAAAAGACGATGACGTCACCTTGCCCCGCGGTATGCTTGACCTTCTCTTCACCTACGCGCGTCCTGGTCTTCTGTACATCGTTCGTTCGTTCTTATATGTGTGTTTGTTGTTAAGCTTCTATGAAAGAGAAGAGTATGTATATGCGTGTTCGTTATTAAGCATGCACGTATGGACCAGAAAATTATGTTTTCATCCGCTAAGATTGAATATTCAAGTCTGACCCCTCGATATTGAACATACATACATACATACATATATACATACATACATACATACATACATACATACATACATGCATACATACAGACATACATACATACATACATACATACATAAATACATGTATATAT